CACACACACACACACACACACACACACACACACACACACCAACCAAAACAAAAAGAAAAATGGTGTTGGAAGGTGGACAGAAGAATTGTGGAGCCTGGGGCATATATTTCAACAGTGGACACTCTAGTATTACAGGAGTGTGTGCTACAGCATCTGTGTGGAGCTCAGAAGACAATTTACGGAATTAAGGATCCACCTTTTGTGGGTTCCCATGACCACAGAGCCATCTCCAAGTCCCTCCAGTAGCATTCTTAAGGACAATAGGCTACCAACCAAATCCATTGCTACAGAGTATCAAACAGCATCTGTCAAACAATGCATTAACAAATATCTGTTAACCTGTGTGCCAAAAGGCACTGATCCAATGCTAGAGATGGCTGGTGCTAGATGAAACCAAGCTGTGGCACCTGAAGGAGACTGATGACCAGAAGGCTGCTGTCAGTAGATGACGAGCCCAGGCAGCAGGAACCTTGTTTGCTGCAGAAAGCTGTCCAAGTTTTACTGTGAGTGTGAGATATGCCACTTAGTGACTTTCAGTCCGGTCAGCATTGCAATTGCCCGAGCTGCATTTGTAAAGGTTTTTTTTTTTTTTTTTTTTTAAGTCTAAGCAATTTTTAAAAAATATTGATGTCTGGACCCATCTGCAACCCAGAGCTATTTTATTTGTGGATAGATGTCTATACTGGCTTTGGGTTTGGTTGGGGGTGGGGAGATAAAGGTGAGTATCTCCTACCACTACCTTAAATCAGCTATGTCAAATTAGGTCTGGAACTGTTTTTTAAGCAGGGTGACTTGTGCTTCATAACAGACTATAATAGTGTTCACCAAGAGAGTGCAACGTAAACAAGAGCCCAGAGGTGAACTGAATACTGATGGCTGGGCAAGAGCACAAGGAAGATACGATGGCTTTGATACCCTGCTATGGTGAGGGGCAGGGCAACGGTGACAGATGGTCAGAAAAGGGATGGCAGGTCCAAGGAGTCCTTTAGTTTGGGTTTTCAGAAGGGAAGGACACTACAGCATTATTTTAACAATGACTGGAATGACCAACGAGCAGTCTCCAAGGAGCATCCCACAAAACTGGCTCCTTCTGACAGCAACTGAACACATCCACTCTATACACGAAGACAAAAGAAGGTTTCACATCCAGAGTCTGAGAATGGCACACTAGTTGACAAGCAACCTCACAGACAAGCCCAAGAACCAATGCTCATCAAAACTCGGGGAGAGGGAGGTCTACCTGGCTGATGACAGGCTTCAAGATGAGAAAGGGAGACTCACAAAACAGTTTTCAATGAAAGACAAATCAAGCCGCCATGCTGTTGTTAGTGACTGAAAATTTACTTTTTACTATTGCTCCATTTAAAAGAACTTGTTGTCAGTAACCAAGCACCTATGCCTCATGGTAAATGACTGGATGTTTCCAGATGGAAGGAAGAAGGTTTACTATGTAAGTTGTAAAGTTCTAAGGAAGTGATTTGAGGTATGTACAAAATGAGACTTAAAGATTATACATATGTCGTTAAGACTTCAAAATTCAAAGTTTAACATTAATCGACTAAGTTCTGATAGATTGTTAATCTGGTCTTGATAACAAAAGCAATGGCTATTATAGTCACAGGCTCAAAAATGTAAATTGTCTTGGGTTGTTTTCTAAATAGATATAAAAGTGCTTTTCTCACTATGCCAAAAACACCACTGTCTGCTCTCTCTATACCAGCCCTTAGGATAGAGGACATGTCTATCCCACGACCATGTTTTGGGTCCTCAAGCTCTCCCCTTTGTTTTCTTCTCTGCTGAGAAAATTTCTTACTACAAATGAATGTTTATGCTTCTATTATGCTGGTAACTTTTCAAGATTTGTTTTGCTATAGCTCAAAGGTGTGAACCTACTCCAGCTGCTAACTGCTTATTCTACAAAAAGGATTTCAGTGCAGATTACAGATTACAGTAATCATGCTAAGAACTCTGTGTGTGTGTGTGAGAGAGAGAGAGAGAGAGAGAAGATTCCCACTCAGCTGACAGACATCATCATTCAGGAATCAACTGCAGAGCCCACCAGTGAGCCCTAATCATGATGAAAACCAGTGTGAACCAGGCCAGCCAATGTAACTGCACATTGTTTCTTCAGGCTTGGTCTGCAAGCCAGATGCTTCTGATGGACTTTCCATGTCTCCTGCCATTACCTGACTCCCCTCCCCCTCCCCACCTTTGGCCAGCATTCCAGCCTTTCTGGGCCCTCCCCAGCTGTGAGGCAGCCAGAGCTTATCCTTTATCATCAACAAAAGGCTGGCAGGTCAGGTGTAAAGAAAACTCCAATTCCCCAAACTCCAAGTCCTTGCGAGTAGGGACTGAGGGAGCCAGGTGGCTAGCACTAACTTTGATATGCTGATGGGCATCACAGATATGTCAATGAAGAACCATATATGTCCCTTCTGCCAGAGGTAAGGGAAATGACTCCTATTGGATGACAGGAACCTGTTTTACAAGTTCCTGAGGAATGCTGGCTTTTTTCTAGCCACCAGAAATCCTTCTAGAGCAAAGTTTGAATGGGCCACGAATGATACTTCTGGATATATGCACTGCCCTTGGAGTTTGAAGAACTGGAATTTCTTTGGGGTCTGCCAACCAGTCTGATTATTGACTGTAGAGAGGACGGCAAGAAGGAGTAGAGGAGAACCACAAAGCTCCCACATTGACTGGTGCACCTGAACATTTCCAACAGAAAACGAGCCACTTAGGAGTGAGAAAGAAGACAGGCAGGGCATCAGAGAAAGAGAGTTATTTAATAAAGTCTGCAACTAAGAACAGAACCTGCCTGCAAGATATACTGGTGCCAGCCAGGCATGATGATGCACACCTTTAATTCCGGCACTTAGGAGGCAGGGACAGCCTGGTCTACATAATGAGTTCTAGGACAGTGCTACATAATGAGACTGTCTCAAAACAACAACACAACAAACAACTAACCATCCCCCCACCCCACCCCACCCCCGAGCAAACAAAAAACA